AAAAAAAAAAAAAAAATCCCACACCCTGGAGGCTGGTTTAGTTTTTAAAACCCTAGAGTAGCCGCTGCTCTCAAGGCACCTTGTTTCAGGGATCAGAGACTCCTTCACCTTGACAGGGTTCTCATTTCCTCCCTGGGGCACCCAGGCCCAGATTCTTGTTCCTTAGTTTATGCTTGAATTGAACCCTGGGCTCCCTGGAGGCACCTGGAGACAAGTCATCTTCTATTTCAGGCTCTACCCTTGAGAAACCCTTAGGTCAGACTCAGCTTCAAGGGAATGAATCCCCCCATCCTGCCACTCCCTCTGTTCTTCCTGTCATCCATTCTTGCTCACTGAAGTCTTCCACTCTGGCCAAAGGACTCCTATAGTCTCACCGCTCTGGAGCACATGCCTATAAATCCATATCCTCTTCACTTTGCACGTACTTTTTTCTTTTACTTCCATTGTTGTTATTATATTGCTCCTGAAGTTAATAATTTTAAAACAAGGAAAAAATTTTTAGAGGGCATCCCTAAAACTCTTAGGCCTGCCTTATTATCATCAATAAATTGTAATAATGTTAATCCCGATAGTGAGTTAGAAATGGAATAACTGTAGTATGCCAGGAAAGGAAACAGCATCTTTTGCTGATGTGAACACTGTTGTAGGACATCTGAAGAGGACAGAAATTACCTAGAAAGGTGATCACTTCTGGTCCCACCATTTCTGGCCCTTTTCTACACACGTCGGCAAGCCAGAGAGGCCAGACGCCTGCTGGACAACCCCACGTCTACCTCCCCCATCACAGCCACCAGTTTGTATGGACTGCTTCCTAAATATCTCCCTTGAATCTATCCTGTCCTCTGCCCCCACTGTCATTATTATGGTTCAGACTCTCCTTACTCTCGCTTCCAGTTTTGAACTGGCCTCCAGTCATCCCCACTTCTGAACCCCGCCCTCTCACAGATTCATATATGTAAACATATCATAGTGTATCAACTCTTACTGAAAACATTTTGGTGGCTCTTAATTGCACTCAGGGTAAAACCCAAATTCCTCCGCAGGGCCTGTGAGGTGCTCCTCCCTTGTCCAGTCTGATCTACCCATCATCCTCCGGATACACTGGGGCTCCAGCAGTACACTGAACAGCTTGGAACTCCCCTCCCATTTCTCTCTGTCCCTTCATGTGTGTTGAACCATCTCTGCCTGCCTCTTCTCCTTTCCTCCTTATTTGTATCCACCCATCAAGTTTTGGTGTATTATCGCCTCTGTGAAACCATCTCTGACCTGCTCTGGCCAAATTAATTACCCCCTCTCCTTACTGCCCCCTAAGCCTTGTTCTTAAATCTGGTGTTGCATCTGTTATATAATTATTTGGGTCTCACCCACTAGTCCATGAGTCCTTGACACCAAGTTTATTGTCTCATTCGAAATCCTGTTCCTAGCTCCTAGAAGAATGTGTTTTAGTTACTCTTTCATATAAATGTGTGTTGGATTTAGGTATAGAGCAATGAGAAAAACAGCTCTCTTCTTGTTCATGAAATTTTCAAGCATTGGACTCTGTCTTGCCTTTTCATCCCCAGCATCTAGCATGGAGTCCGCCATCTAGCAAGTAACCAGTATAGACTGACTTATTAATGAACACATGTTTGTCAAGCCCTGTGTTTTTGTACATGTTGGTCCCGTTGGCTCAAAATATATTCTTCCTATGATACAGAGAAGATGAGCATGGGCCCTGAGCAAGGATGACAAGCTAATTCGTGAAGCGTTCCATATTTTTGAATCACTGTGATGTACACCTGAAACTAATGTAACACTGTGAGTCAACTATACTCAAGTTAAAAAAAACAAAACAAAAAACAACACCTAAAAAAAAAATTCTTCCTCCTATTTTGGTTTAGTTCCATGGAAACAATATGGCAAAATCAGCTTGAGAACAAGCTTCAGAGTCAGGAAGATTTGGGTTCAGATCTGGTTTTGTCACTAACAGTGTGGCCTTGTTTCAGTTTTCTCTCCCTTCAAAACGGGCGTGATAAAATCTATTCTGAGGGTTGCTGGGGATATTAAATGAGACAAAATATATATAAAGGACTTAGCAGGATGCCTTGTACATGGTAAAAGCTCAGTAAGTAGCAGCTATCAATCGTTTAATCCTGTAGGACTCAGATCAAGCGCCATTTCCTCCAGGAAGTCTTCCCTTACACCTTCTAACTCCCACCTGGGTTAGGGGCCCTGCCTACAAGTGGCTGGAGCATTACATAGCATTATAAGCTCACTTCTCTCCTAGCCGGTATCACAATTATTGCAATCAATTTAACAACATTTTTAAGCTTCTACCAGATTCTAAGTATTGATTATAGAGTGATGAGAGAAAATATTTTTTGGTTTGTGAACTCCTTGAGAGCTCCACCCTGTCTTGCCTTCGTATCTCTAGCATCTAGCGTGGTACCTGATGTACAGTAATTGACCAGTAGAGACTGACTCATTGAATGAACAAGTGAATGGACCTACTTCTGTTGTCTTGAGTTTTCATATTCTTTGTGCTTATTGGTTAGACTATTATGTGAATCGCAAGGGGTTCATGTTTCATTTTTAACTACTCTGAATGTACATACCCCATGTCAGCCTTTGCTAGGGGCAGTGGCTATATCAGTAAGTGAAATCATTCTCCTCTCTTCCAGATTCTATGACAAGGTGCTTTCTTTGCACGAGGATTCCGCAACCCCTGTGTCTAACCCTCTGCTTGCATTTACTCTCATCAAACGCCTACAGTCTGACTGGAGGAATGTAGTACATAGTCTGGAGGCCAGTGAGAACATCCGAGGTAATGAGGAGGAGGGCTGGAGGGTAAGAGAAGATTCTATCTCCTGACTCTGGAAAGGAGATTCTGGTGGAATGTGATAAAGGGTCATGAAGTGTGTAGGTATTACTCCATCTTCATAGCTTTAACCATTATGAAGAACTAGGTCCTCTTGTTAATATGTCTATGTGATTGTACTTTAGAAAGCACTTTTGGGGCATGCGACTCTTGATCTCGGGGTTGTGAGTTCAGTCCCACATTGGGTGTAGAGATTACTTAAAAATAAAATCTTTAAAAAAAAAAAAAAGTGCTTTCATGCCCATTATCTCACTTCTTTTTTTTT